CATAGTGCTGTGCAGCAATCGTGCAACCAGCTGTTATATTTTGGGTAACAATTCTCCTAATATGTACACGGAATATGAACTTTTTCTGAATTTTCATTGTGGTTTATGGAAGTTTTCTGTTATGACTGTCCAGGGGTGTTGTGCTATTTGCACAGGGGGTTAGAAAGGTATGCGATTAATTGAGTTGGCGCTCTCCCAAAAGAATGCAATCACAAATGTTGTTAAGGAGTTATGTTTAGGCATTCTTTGTATTTAAAGTGGAACTATGGACAAAAGCAAAAAATAGGTGATGCAATCTGTCAGTATCATTAAAGCGCTACTAAAGCTAGGAATTAAATCTTAAAAGTACATTCAAAGTACCTTAAGATACATTTATGTTAATAGTTATTTGTGCATCACTCAGCTGTAGATCCTCAAATCATCTCTGTATTGGTGCTGATACTGTCCTTCCTTCTGGAAGAGTGACTACTTTTGTTCCCCATGGTCCCTGTGTGTTGTAAAGTAGCCACCACTCCAAGCCATGGGGAACAAAAGACTACAGTGTCATATTTAGTTTACTAATTTGCATTGAAGTTGTCGTTTATCACATGAGTGAGCTTGGAGTGGTGGTTACTTTACAACACACAGGGACCATGGGGAACAAAAGTAGCTACCCTCCTGTCAGCACCACATCAGAGATGATTTGAGGATCTACAGCTGAGTGATACACAAATAAGCTATATTTCTGTTAATAGGGAGCTTGAATGCATTTTTAGACCTCATTCACACTGCCTTCAATACGCGGTGTATATGCGCGTACATGTGTATTGTCCCATATGCAGCATATGCAAATAAATGGCTCCAATCGCATAGCTGTGTATGGAGCCATGGGGTTCTTATTTTATATAGTAAAAAGTAAGAACCCCAGTGGTGATTAAATACCACCAAAAGAAAGCTCTATCTGTCTCCAAAAAATGGTATAACATTCATTTCAGTACAGCGCTGCATGACGGAATAAACGTCAGTCAAAGTACCGCAGCACAGAATACTGAAAAATGGCCTGGATGGGAAGGGGGTTTAACACCGCGGTCAGCAAGTGGTTACACTACACTACACTAATGTATTAAAGCACCTTTTGATTTTATAACAGCATCCAGTAATTTGGGCTAGTGGTCTATCTGCATGGCACATCTTGCCATTGAAATCTTTGCCCACTCTATCTAGCAAAAGGGCTCTAAATCTGTCATTGGGGGGCATCTCCTGGGCACAGCATTCTTCAGGTCACCCCACAGATTTTCAATTGGATTCAGGTTTGGGCTGTGACTGAGCCATTCCAAAACTTGGATCTTTCTCTGGTGAAGCCATTCTTTTGTTGATTTTGAAGGTATGCTTTGGGTCATTGTCAGGCTGAAAGGTAAATTTCCTTTTCATCTTTTTAGCAGAGGTGCCAAAATTGACTGATATTTAGAACTCTGTCTTAACTAAAGCCCCAGTTCCAGCTGAAGAAAAGCAGCCCCCAGAGCAAAATGCTGCGATCACCATACTTTACTATGGGTATAGTGTTCTTTTGGTGACCCGGGCTGTAAACACATGTAACAGTATAATGGGCTGCCTATAGAGATCACCCCTGGCCCCGTTCTCCCTTTGTACACTTAAGTGCCAGACTCAGGAACTGCACTGCAGATCACAATGTACTGTATGTTGATGCGTTGCTGTTTCTCGGTAAGTACAACTGACTCTTGCTATGTTTCTTATTGTATTAGGTGATAGTGTGTGCTGTGCTATACACTTATACTGGATTCGCAAATTGCGCGCTTGTTGCACGATTTGCATTTTGCGCGATATCGTGCGTTTGTCGCGCGACTTATCGCGCAAATGCTTGCATTGAGCAACCTAGAATCGCGGAAAAATCCGCTCCAAAAGGGGTCCTGCTGTAGCGATGGACAGAGCCCCATTGAGATGCATTGGAGAGCGATATCGCGCGGTAAATAGCTGCGATATCGCTGGAATTACGGCGCAATAAATCAATCAGTTTGAACGGGACCTTAAAGATTATTTCCACTTTGCAGTCAAATTTGAGAAACACTTTTGCAGTCAAATTTGAGAACCCCCCCCCCCACTATGTTTGTACTTTTTTGTATTTTCACACAGCATACGTAAAAATGATTTTTTAAAAATTATGTCTTGCCTTTCTTGTTTCTTTGGAGCAGAATTATACAGGGGACTGCAAGCTATCCTAAGCAATTTCAAAGGAACAGACTGGACTTTTTCTCCGTAACATTCAATGAGTAATCCAAACTCTACAGCTCTTAAAGTACTTTTTTCTTTTTTTTTTTAAATTATGAATCCGGATCAAACAAATATACAATGTCCTGCAAAGCATTGCTCGCAATTTTTGCCCTATTACACACCATGTCTCCAAAGATCTGGCTCCAACTCTCTCAACTCGGTTTCCCTGAACTTCATGTCTAGTACACGAAAACAAGGGACAGAGCAATCTTCAGCAGTTGCCAATCTACTAGCTTGCATAAGAGGAGGAAGGGGGAGCAGAGGAGGGACTTGCCCTGCTTTGCCTTTGTGGAGACACACACACAGCTTACTAGCACACAAAGGTGGCTCCATAGGACCCTGCAAGGGAACGTTGCCACCCAAAAACTGGATATCAGCTGCTCTGGAGACCAGCTGATTCTGCAGGAGACTAACATTTCTAAACATCAAGGAGCAGCATCCATTTTAAGTGATTTAATTGGCATTCAAAAAAAAAAATCTTAAAGACATCTTTTGACTTTAATATCAACTCTGTTAGGATAGTGTGGAAATCTAGTTTACAATTGATAATGTGATCTGACAGCACCGCACCCAGGGTTTAATATGGTAAATATTAAGGGCCAGATCACACTGTAGTGTTGCGCTAAAGGCATGATATTTGTGCATTCAGTAGATGCTATTGCACAGCACAATACACCGTACCCTTGCTGTGTTGTGAATCCAATCATTCTGAATTGCTCCTTATCATACCTCCCAGCAGAGTGCTTTTCCTAACTTGTGGTGAAACACACACGCACACACACACACTATTGCGTTACTCTGCATTACAGTGCACTCCTGGCAAGATGTGTGCAAGGGTGTCATTCTAAATAAGTTGCAACACTGCACTTTGCGTTTGGTGTATTGGGCTTTGTGATGCTAATCGCATGGATACCATGTGCAAAACGGCCCTTACTTCATAGCCCCTTCCCTAACATGACATGGGTAGTAAGCAAGTAGAGAACAATAAAAAAATGTAAGCAGCATTTTTAAATAGATTGTTTGAAGTTATACAATGTGAATGTGAACATATTGCAACTATAAAGTGATGTTATCAGTTTGGCTGCAGATGTGAAGTTCAGATAAATGGTAAAGAATATCTAGCTTGTTTTTGATCAAATGCTTGACAAAACTAAATAATGAAGAATTGGCCATCTTCAACAACAACAAAAAACTACTACTCCCATATGTTTTAACCACTTGCTGTCCGGAGCAATTTCGTACTATTTGCACGCACAGGATAAAATCTAAATTTGTGGCTAGAAAATAACCTCAAACCCC